TTAAAGGGATACTTTGTGATTTTTGCACTGAGGCCCTTCATCTACTTCCTCAGAGTCTGATGAACTAGTGGATACAAAATGTCTCTGTGTCGAGTATGAAGGAAGTTAGAAGTAGTTTTGTGAGCAAATGCTAACTAGCGTTAGCGCAATAACTGGAAGTCTATGGGTATCCACTAGCATTTTACCTTTAAACAAAATATTTTTCTTTGACCAGTTTTATTAGTATAAAACACTATAATTTCCCAAAAAAAATGTACCATATGATGTAGCTCAGTATTTGAATGACTTATTTTATACAGTCATTTTTTTTTTCATCTTTATCAATAATGTCAAGCCCCACTGTACATCTAACGTCTCACATTATTCACTGCCCCACTGTATGTCTGTGAGTGTAAACATCTGCAGAATCACCAGATGTGTGTGTGTGTGAGTGAGTGTGTATATAGTGTGTATGTGTGTGAGTGAGTGATTGAGTGTGTGTATATAGTGTGTGTGTCTGTGTGATTGTGTATATAGTGTGTGTGTGTGTGTGTATAGAGAGTATATAGTGTGTCTGTGTATATAGTGTGTATATAGTGAGTATATGGTGTGTGTGTGTGTGAGTGTGTACAGTGGGGGAAAAAAGTATTTAGTCAGCCACCAATTGTGCAAGTTCTCCCACTTAAAAAGATGAGAGAGGCCTGTAATTTTCATCATAGGTACACGTCAACTATGACAGACAAATTGAGAAAAAAAATCCAGAAAATCACATTGTATGATTTTTAATGAAATTATGGTGGAAAATAAGTATTTGGTCACCTACAAACAAGCAAGATTTCTGGCTCTCACAGACCTGTAACTTCTTCTTTAAGAGGCTCCTCTGTCCTCCACTGGTTACCTGTATTAATGGCACCTGTTTGAACTTGTTATCAGTATAAAAGACACCTGTCCACAACCTCAAACAGTCACACTCAAAACTCCACTATGGCCAAGACCAAAGAGCTGTCAAAGGACACCAGAAACAAAATTGTAGACCTGCACCAGGCTGGGAAGACTGAATCTGCAATAGGTAAGCAGCTTGGTTTGAAGAAATCAACTGTGGGAGCAATTATTAGGAAATGGAAGACATACAAGACCACTGATAATCTCCCTCGATCTGGGGCTCCACGCAAGATCTCACCCCGTGGGGTCAAAATGATCACAAGAAGGGTGAGCAAAAATCCCAGAACCACACGGGGGGACCTAGTGAATGACCTGCAGAGAGCTGGGACCAAAGTAACAAAGCCTACCATCAGTAACACACTACGCCGCCAGGGACTCAAATCCTGCAGTGCCAGACGTGTCCCCCTGCTTAAGCCAGTACATGTCCAGGCCCGTCTGAAGTTTGCTAGAGTGCATTTGGATGATCCAGAAGAGGATTGGGAGAATGTCATATGGTCAGATGAAACCAAAATAGAAATTTTTGGTAAAAACTCAACTCGTCGTGTTTGGAGGACAAAGAATGCTGAGTTGCATCCAAAGAACCATACCTACTGTGAAGCATGGGGGTGGAAACATCATGCTTTGGGGCAGTTTTTCTGCAAAGGGACCAGGACGACTGATCCGTGTAAAGGAAAGAATGAATGGGGCCATGTATCGTGAGATTTTGAGTGAAAACCTCCTTCCATCAGCAAGGGCATTGAAGATGAAACGTGGCTGGGTCTTTCAGCATGACAATGATCCCAAACACACCGCCCAGGCAACGAAGGAGTGGCTTCGTAAGAAGCATTTCAAGGTCCTGGAGTGGCCTAGCCAGTCTCCAGATCTCAACCCCATAGAAAATCTTTGGAGGGAGTTGAAAGTCCGTATTGCCCAGCGACAGCCCCAAAACATCACTGCTCTAGAGGAGATATGCATGGAGGAATGGGACAAAATACCAGCAACAGTGTGTGAAAACCTTGAAGACTTACAGAAAACGTTTGACCTGTGTCTATGCCAACAAAGGGTATATAACAAAGTATTGAGAAACTTTTGTTATTGACCAAATACTTATTTTCCACCATAATTTGCAAATAAATTCATAAAAAATCCTACAATGTGATTTTCTGGATTTTTTTTCTCATTTTGTCTGTCATAGTTGACGTGTACCTATGATGGAAATTACAGGCCTCTCTCATCTTTTTAAGTGGGAGAACTTGCACAATTGGTGGCTGACTAAATACTTTTTTCCCCCACTGTATATAGTGAGTATATGGTGTGTGTCTGTGTGTGTGTCTGTGTGTGTCTGTGTGTGTGTGTGTGTGTGTAGTGAGAATATAGTGTGTGTCTGTGTGAGTGTGTATATAGTGAGTATATAGTGTGTGTGTGTGTCTGTGTATATAGTGTGTGTGTGTGAGTGTGTATGTAGTGAGAATATGGTGTGTGTCTGTGTGAGTGTGTATGTAGTGAGTATATAGTGTGTGTGTGTGTGTCTGTGTATATAGTGTGTGTGTGTGTGTGTGTGTGTGTGTGTGTGTGGGTGGGTGTGTGTGTGTGTGTGTGTGTATGTAGTGAGAATATGGTGTGTGTCTGTGTGAGTGTGTATATAGTGAGTATATAGTGTGTGTGTGTGTGTCTGTGTATATAGTGTGTGTGTGTGTGAGTGTGTATGTAGTGAGAATATGGTGTGTATCTGTGTGAGTGTGTACAGTGAGGGAAAAAAGTATTTGATCCCCTGCTGATTTTGTACGTTTGCCCACTGACAAAGAAATGATCAGTCTATAATTTTAATGGTAGGTTTATTTGAACAGTGAGAGACAGAATAACAACAACAAAATCCAGAAAAACACATTTCGAAAATGTTATAAATTGATTTGCATCTTAATGAGGAAAATAAGTATTTGACCCCCTCTCAATCAGAAAGATTTCTGGCTCCCAGGTGTCTTTTATACAGGTAACGAGCTGAGATTAGGAGCACACTCTTAAAGGGAGTGCTCCTAATCTCAGCTTGTTACCTGTATAAAAGACACCTGTCCACAGAAGCAATCAATCAATCAGATTCCAAACTCTCCACCATGGCCAAGACCAAAGAGCTCTCCAAGGATGTCAGGGACAAGATTGTAGACCTACACAAGGCTGGAATGGGCTACAAGAACATCGCCAAGCAGCTTGGTGAGAAGGTGACAACAGTTAGTGCGATTATTCGCAAATGGAAGAAACAAAGAACTGTCAATCTCCCTCAGCCTGGGGCTCCATGCAAGATCTCACCTCGTGGAGTTGCAATGATCATAAGAACAGTGAGGATTCAGCCCAGAACTACACGGGAGGATCTTGTCAATGATCTCAAAGCAGCTGGGACCATAGTCACCAAGAAAACAATTGGTAACACATTACGCCGTGAAGGACTGAAATCCTGCAGCGCCCGCAAGGTCCACCTGCTCAAGAAAGCACATTTACAGGGCCGGCTGAAGTTTGCCAATGAACATCTGAATGATTCAGAGGAGAACTGGGTGAAAGTGTTGTGGTCAGATGAGACCAAAATCGAGCTCTTTGGCATCAACTCAATTCGCCGTGTTTGGAGGAGGAGGAATGCTGCCTATGACTCCAAGAACACCATCCCCACCGTCAAACATGGAGGTGGAAACTATGCTTTGGGGGTGTTTTTCTGCTAAGGGGACAGGACAACTTCATCGCATCAAAGGGACAATGGACAGGGCCATGTACCGTCAAATCTTGGGTGAGAACATCCTTCCCTCAGCCAGGGCATTGAAAATGGGTCGTGGATGGGTATTCCAGCATGACAATGACCCAAAACACACGGCCAAGGCAACAAAGGAGTGGCTCAAGAAGAAGCACATTAAGGTCCTGGAGTGGCCTAGCCAGTCTCCAGACCTTAATCCCATAGAAAATCTGTGGAGGGAGCTGAAGGTTCGAGTAGCCAAACGTCAGCCTCGAAACCTTAATGACTTGGAGAATATCTGCAAAGAGGAGTGGAACAAAATCCCTCCTGAGATGTGTGCAAACCTGGTGGCCAACTACAAGAAACGTCTGACCTCTGATTGCCAACAAGGGTTTTGCCACCAAGTACTAAGTCATGTTTTGCAGAGGGGTCAAATACTTATTTCCCTCATTAAAATGCAAATCAATTTATAACATTTTTGACATGCGTTTTTCTGGATTTTTTTGTTGTTATTCTGTCTCTCACTGTTCAAATAAACCTACCATTAAAATTATAGACTGATCATGTCTTTGTCAGTGGGCAAACGTACAAAATCAGCAGGGGATCAAATACTTTTTTCCCTCACTGTATATAGTGAGTATATAGTGTGTGTGTGTGTGTGTCTGTGTATATAGTGTGTGTGTGTGAGTGTGTATGTATGTAGTGAGAATATAGTGTGTATCTGTGTGAGTGTGTATATGGTGTGTGTGTGTGTGTGTGTATAGTGTGTATATGGTGTGTATATAGTGAATATATGGTGTGTGTGTGTCTGTGTGAGTGTGTATATAGTGAGTATATGGTGAGTATATGGTGTGTGTGTATATAGTGTGTATATAGTGAATATATGGTGTGTGTGTGTGTCTGTGTGAGTGTGTATATAGTGAATATATGGTGTGTGTGTGTGTGTCTGTGTGAGTGTGTATATAGTGAGAATGTGGTGTGTGTGTGTGTGTGTGAGTGTGTATATAGTGAGTATATGGTGTGTGTATATGGTGTGTGAGTGTGTATATAGTGTGTATATAGTGTGTGTGTGTGTGAGTGTGTATATAGTGTGTGTGTGTGTGAGTGTGTATATAGTGTGTGTGTGTGTGTGAGTGTGTATATAATGTGTATATAGTGTATATGGTGTGTGAGTGTGTATATAGTGTGTATATAGTGTGTGTGTGTGTGTGAGTGTGTATATAGTGTGTGTGAGTGTGTATATAGTGTGTATGTGTGTGACCTGTATCTTGTCCCTGCGTCTTTGCTGCTGAGCCAGTCTGTTAGTGAGGGCGCTGCGTCTGGCCCGGAGCTCTCTGATGTCATCCTCGCTGCCCCCGCCCTCATCCCCCTCCGAAACAGACGACTCTGCCTCCACGATGACGTCATCACTCTAAGACACAGCACCACAGCAGAGAGGGGCGTAGAGGGACATGTTAGTGGACACACATCTAACTACACCCTACACATCTGATTCAGCTAACCAAGGTATTCATGACGGTGACTAGTTGAGACAGGTGTGTAACTCAGCGGCTAGACTTAAAAACAAATAATCGAGGATTGAGAGACAGAGTCACAGACACACACCTCTCGAGACACTTGGATAAGAGCCTGCGAGAACATTTGATAAGTAAGAGAGAGAAACAAACACACACCTCTCTCTCGGTCTGTGAGTCGTGTCGACCGTGGGCGTCACCAGGGCTGCTGGGTTGGGGAGAGGTTGCCATGGAGACATACTTCCCTCCCTTGAAGGCCAAGAGAGGTTGTTCCTGACCACACAGAGCCTCCAGGAAATACTTCAACACTGTTACCCTTTTACAGTCTGCTGCTATTACCTAGGGGAGAGAGAGAGAGAGAGAGAGAGAGAGAGAGAGAGAGAGAGAGAGAGAGAGAGAGAGCGAGTGAGAGAGAGCACGCATATGTGTGTGTATGCAATGTATGTATGGTGTATAAACTCACGGTATCCCTGGTGCAGTCTATGTAGCAGGGTTCCTGCGGGGCGGCGAGCAGCGGGACGAAGCCGGCCAGTAGCCTGTCCTCCTCCAATAGCAGCAGGCGGAGCTCCTCATCCCCCTCCCCTCCGTCCCCGTCTGCCTTGTACAGCGGCGCCTCCCCGTGGTCAACACGTGCCAACGCATTACACAGGTCAGCCAGGCTGCGCCACACACCAGAGCTACAACCACAGGAAGAGAGAGGAGTCAGTAACACCTCCCCACAGGAAGAGAGAGGAGACAGTAACACCTCCCCACAGGAAGAGAGAGGAGACAGTAACACCTCCCCACAGGAAGAGAGGGGAGACAGTAACACCTCCCCACAGGAAGAGAGAGGAGACAGTAACACCTCCCCACAGGAAGAGAGAGGAGGCAGTAACACCTCCCCACAGGAAGAGAGAGGAGACAGTAACACCTCCCCACAGGAAGAGAGGGGAGACAGTAACACCTCCCCACAGGAAGAGAGAGGAGACAGTAACACCTCCCCACAGGAAGAGAGAGGACACAGTAACACCTCCCTACAGGAAGAGAGAGGAGACAGTAACACCTCCCCACAGGAAGAGAGAGGAGACAGTAACACCTCCCCACAGGAAGAGAGAGGAGACAGTAACACCTCCCCACAGGAAGAGAGAGGAGACAGTAACACCTCCCCACAGGAAGAGAGAGGAGACAGTAACCACCTCCCCACAGGAAGAGAGAGGAGACAGTAACACCTCCCCACAGGAAGAGAGAGGAGACAGTAACACCTCCCCACAGGAAGAGAGAGGAGACAGTAACACCTCCTCACAGGAAGAGAGAGGAGACAGTAACACCTCCCCACAGGAGATCGTCCTGTGTTTGGATTGTATACTCACTCTATACTACAAGGTGGAGGATTCCATTGGTTGGGATGTCCAAGCATCCAATCAGACCAGACCTTGACACTAGGCAGCAGCTCCCTCAGGTCCAATGGGAAGGCAGAAACTCTCACCATCCCCTCCTCCTCCTCATCCCCCTGTTCTCTCTCCTCCTCGGGGATGGGCTCTGAGAGAGGGAGTGAGGGAGAGGGAGAAAGGGAGAGAGAGAGAGAGTGGAGAGAGAGAAATAGGAGAGAGAGAGAAAGAGAATCATTGTCTGCCTTCCTAGGGGGTAGAAATCATATGTCTGGCAAACCTCTCCATTAAGGTCACTAGAAGCTTCACTCCGTTGATCTACGTGCGAGTGTGGATAGAGTTGGATTTTTGGAGCAGCGGACACCTTTTGGTAACATGATATCCTCACTGGTCTCACTCCCATTCACGATAGCAAAGTAAAAAAAAAGTGTCAATTAATTTTGTGAAAGCAAGGAAGAGTCACCTTCCCTTGCTAGTAGTAGCTAGCTGGCTTTAGCTTGGATAAAAACATAGCAAGCTAGCTAGCCTTTTTAGCTTCCCACATCTCTATGCGAAATAATCACATTTCAAATTTAAAAAATATGCCCTGGCAAATATTTTTATACTTGCCGGTGTAACCTAAAACATTATCCTAGTTTGATATGCTGCTTGTGTATTAATTCCCATATCAGCTAAAAATAGAACATCATGTTTTAGTCATGCCCATGGCTAGCTAGCTGGCTACAGCAGGTTCTACCGTTTCACAATAGCTTGGAATCACTAGTTATTACTTCTAAATAAAATACCTTTTTGGGTGGATTCTTGTTGTTTGGTTTACTGTTTCAACAGTCGCTGAGATTATATTTGGCGAATCAATGCAAAATGATGAATAGCCAATTTAGCCTATAGATCAGATCAAGGAACCAAGCGACAACACTGCCCCCACGGCTGAGGAAGGAAGGAATGATACGGCACGTCTCAATTTTCAGGTAGTACAAAAATACATTGAATTCCGGAGCGTATTACAAGGAGCCGCCCCCTTTGTGGTGAATAACGACATCTCAACACTTTGCTACGCTCCGAATCTTCCGTCTCAGTAGAGCTTGTAGTAAGCTTTACTCTGTGTTAGTGTGTTAGAGTGCATCGGAGTACCCAACTCTTCACTCATATGAACTGTGTCAGTGAGAGTCTTTTTCACAACCATACAATGTCCCAGACAATGTATACAAATATCACATCTGTGAATGACATACCTGCAGGTGTATCTCTTAATAGCTCTGTGCAGCGCTGGACCAGCAGAGAGAACATGGCCAGACCCAGAGCTGTAGTCTGCTCCTGTAACACAGACCTCACCTCACCATCTCCTCCTAGAGGAAGGGAGAGAGAAGGGGGAGGAGAGGGAGAGAGGGAGAGAGAGAGATGGAGAGAAGGGGAAGTAGAGGGAGAGAGAGAGGAAGGGGTAGGCAGAGTCGACAGGTGTAATACCTGTGGCATCTGTTATCTCTGGAGCCAGCGCGGGATTCATCCTTAGCCTCGCTTTCTGTCCTTCATCGTCTTTCCCTTTCTCCTATGTCTTGCGGTCGAGCTTGATCGTGCACTTCCGTGTTTCTGATCCGTCTATTGCGCGTTTGCTGGTCTCTGTTGATCTGTCTGTTCCCCTTGAGGATTTCCAGGCTTGCGTGGGAGATCTGCTAGAACGCGTGCGTGAGTGAGACGTTCTAGAGAGGAAGAGAGGAGACAGGCTTGAGGTTGGTGTTTTTGCACAATGCTTTTACACAAGGTCACATTTCTGTGTGTGTGTGTGTGCTACCTCTGCTTTGAGCGTTGTGTATAGTGAACATGTTGATAGTGATGATCTGTAACAATGCGCTTTGCTCGGTCCTTCTGGGGGATGGAGGGGCTGTGTTGGAGCAGTGTCTCGAACTCCTGTGAACACGACTGCCCACCGCCGGGAACGACTCCATGCTGCAACACAGTGGACATGTTTCTCATTCAGACACTCTTATCCAGAGAGACTTACAGTCAGTGCTTTCAACTAAGGTAGGTAAGACAACCACATATCACAGTGATTGGAAGTAAAATCCTTCTACTAAAACAGCAGCTATCAGCATAATAAGTGCTAGTAAGAAAATACGTGTGTTAGAGCATACACACAACCACACAGGCTTTACAAAATGAAGTCTACATATTTAATACACGACTACACACACCAAAATAACTCACCCCACTTTAGTGAAGAGTTTTCCATGAGCGTGAAGGAAGCTGAGTATGAACCTCTTATTGAGCTGCAGACAGACAGGAGCAACAGTGCACTGATGAGTCAGATAGTCGGTCTAGCATTGATTAGTCATGTCTGTCCTGTCATCTTATTTCATTGAATCTATGCTATGTAACAGCTAGATGAAGGGGACTGGTTATAACACTGGTTATAACAGCTAGGTGAAGGGGACTGGTTATAACACTGGTTATAACAGCTAGGTGAAGGGGACTGGTTATAACATTGGTTATAACAGCTAGGTGAAGGGGACTGGTTATAACACTGGTTATAACAGCTAGGTGAAGGGGACTGGTTATAACACTGGTTATAACAGCTAGGTGAAGGGGCGACGCTTATAGCCACTACTGATATAGGCCAACTACCTGACTATGGCCAATAACATTTGGCATAACGCTTAGGCAAACCTGACTATAGCAACATCGGCTATAATAACCGACTAGCAATCCTGACTATAGGCCAACTAACCTGACTATAGGCCAACTAACCTGACTATAGGCCAACTAACCTGACTATAGGCCAACTAACCTGACTATAGGCCAACTAACCTGACTATAGGCCAACTAACCTGACTATAGGCCAACTTAACACTCAGAAACACAGAATAAGGAGAATGAAAAGAAAATAAGGATTAACTATGGAAACATCTGAACACAGAGACATGGCACGAACAGTACTAAGGCCCAGGGACAACCGACAGGGACAAACAAGGGACACTGACTACAGGCCAACAGGGACTGACCAGGGACAGACTGAACAGGGACATAGGCAGGGACACTGACACATGACAGGAAGGACAAACTACACTGGACTAGACAGGACACAGACTACACAGGACAAGACGGGCCCAAGACAGAGACTAACCGGGACAGAGACCAGGACTGACATTAGACAGGACAGAGACTGACACAGGACATGGACAAGACTAAGAGACTGGACGTACTAGGGCAGACGAACTGACAAGGCAGACAAGACTGACTGACTAGGCCAACGGTAGGGACAGGACAGAGACAGACACGGACGGAACAGGGACAGGACGACAGGACAGAGACTGACACAGACAAGACAACACAGGGACAGAGACTGACACGGGACAAACTGACAATGGCAAGACTGACACAGGACAGAGACACACAGGACAGAGACAGAGACTGACACAGGGACAGAGACTGACACAGGGACAGAGACAGGGACAGGGACAGGGACAGAGACAGGGACAGAGACTGACACAGAGGACTGACACAGGGATAGGACAGAGACAGGGACTGACACAGGGACAGAGACAGAGACTGACACAGGGACAGAGACAGGGACAGAGACTGACACAGGGACAGAGACAGGGACAGAGACTGACACAGAGACAGGGACAGAGACTGACACAGGGAAAGGGACAGAGACAGGGACAGAGACTGACACAGGGACAGAGACAGAGACTGACACAGGGACAGGGACAGAGACTGACACAGGGATAGTGACAGAGACAGAGACTGACACAGGGACAGAGACAGGGACAGAGACAGACACAGGGACAGAGACTGACACTCAGACAGTGACTGACACAGGGACTCAGACAGGGACAGAGACAGGGACAGAGACAGAGACAGGGACAGGGACAGAGACAGAGACAGGGACAGGGACAGGGATATTTCTCATTAAATATTGATTTAGTCATGGGGAAGTCTGTTAAGTAACAGGTTTGAGACATGGATATGTGTCTGCCTGTGTGTGTGTGTTTGTTTGTGTGTGTGTGTGCGTGTAGATGAGTGTCTGCGTGTGTGTGTCTGTTAGGGATGGGCATTTGAAATAATTTCACTATTCGAATAATATCCCCCCCAAAATTGCAGATATCCGGATAGTCAAAATACATTATTTTTTAAACACACACACAAAACCCCCACATTGTTTAACTTGGGAACTGCTTGCTGAGCAGCCTGCGCAACATGGGAGAGAGGTGCAGTACGGGAGGCGGGTAGGGGTCGATGTGTTTGACACGGGAGGGAGGGAGAGAGAGCAGCCCTAGTTAGACAAACTTGTAGATACCAGGGTTTAGGGAGGTGTGGCATTGGGCGTGGCAATGGCCACGGTCAGCCCGTCGGCACGGCTGAATTGTAAAGAAAATTGTACAGAAATCTGCTCATTGAACAAGAATAGTAAACTAACAAGAAATGCTATTTCTATGGGGTTTAGGTTTAAGTTTAGGTTTTTGGGTTAAGGTTAGGGTTAGGGAAAATGGTATTTTGAATGGGACTGAATTGTGTGTCCCCACAAGGTTAGTTGTACAAGACTGTGTGAGCGGGTGTGTTTGTGTGTCTGCCTGCGTATGTGTGTGTGCGTATGTGTGTGTTTACGAAGGCGTATCTCCATGGAGACGGTGATGACGAGAGCGCCGCGGCCCACGATGCACCCTGTCTGTCCACTACGGAGGGTGAGTCACAGAGCCACCACTTCCTGGGAGAGAAAACATCTCTAGTGTGTGTGTGTGTGTGTGTGTGTGTGTGTGTGTGTGTATGTATGTGTGAGAGAGAGAGAGAATATGCGTATTTCTCTGACTGTGCACTTTGGACAGGGCAGTCTGAGGACCAGAGACATCTAACAGAGAGAGTGACAGCATATATATTATGTATTTTTGCAACAGCGGAGGAGAGGAAGAGAGGAATATGAGCTGGAAAAAAAGAAAGAAAGACAGACAGAGAGAGAGAGAGATGTAGATAGAGAGAGAGAGAGAGGGGTAGAGAGAGAGAGAGGTAGGAGAGAGAGTAGGAGAGAGAGAGAGGTAGGAGAGCGCGAGAGAGAGAGAGAGAGAGAGAGGTGTATGATGTTGAATAGTTCCTGTTCTGTGTGCTGTGTGGGAGGTGTGTCTGAATACAAGGTCATGTGTGCCGCCATTTCTGTGTGTGTGTGTTTGCCATGAAATACACTTCTTCTGGCGCATGAGTGAACACGTGCACACCCACAGACACACACTCAGAGATAGACACAAAGAGACACAGAGGAGTATTAACAACGTCCAATATGAAAGAACCCGAACTGAACCGGAAGAGAAGCATATAAGCCATAGAGAGTGAGTGAGTGTGCGTACGTATATGTGTATTGTACTCACATCACTCGCGCTGAGGTTGCCCAGCTCTCCGTCCTGTTCAGAGTCTCTGCTGGACTCGTTGCCCCCGCGGTGTGACGAAAGAGCCGCTGCCTGGCTGATAGGGCGAACCCAGATCTCTACTCTGGCCCCCTGCTCCCCCCGTCCTCCTCCTCCCCCCCCGGACCCCCGGGCCCCTGGACCCCCCTTCTGACTCCTGCCTCCGCCCCATCTGTTCCGCCTGGGTCAAAGGGTCAGAGGTCATGTATACAGAACACACAAGCAGGGGGCAGAACTAGGAGATGAAAGGCTTGGTGTTGGATGTGTTTAGTCTATGAATACGTTAGCTGGTCCATGAAAGCAGTGTTGGTTGAGATATAAGTGTATATGTGTCCTTCGTGTGTGTGTCTGACCTTGCGTTTGGCTTCTTCAAACAGACTCATGAGGCTCTCCTTGGCAGTGAGGATGGGGTTGGAGACAGCCAGGCTCCGCATGTAGTAATACACTGCATCCAACTTCCTCTTCTAGAGAGAGAGAGAGGAGAAGAGAAATGAGTGATCTTTCTTGTGTCTGTCGGTTTTTTCTCTCAAAATCTTACTAACTATATACATTATTGACCATTTTCATGTACAGTGCCTTGCAAAAGTATTCATCCCCCTTGGCATTTTTCCGATTTTGTTGCATTACAACCTGTAATTTAAATGTATTTTTATTTGGATTTCATGTAATGGACATACACAAAACAGTCCAAATTGGTGAAAGTGAAATGAAAAAAAATAACTTGTTTCAAAAAAATAATAACGGAAAAGTGGTGCGTGCATATGTATTCACCCCCTTTGCTATGAAGCCCCTAAATAAGATCTGGTGCAACCAATTACCTTCAGAAGTCACATAATTAGTTAAATAATGTCCACCTGTGTGCAATCTAAGTGTCACATTATCTGTCACATGATCTCAGTATATATACACCTGTTCTGAAAGACCCCAGAGTCTGCAACACCACTAAGCAAGCGGCACCATGAAGACCAAGGAGCTCTCCAAACAGGTCAGGGATAAAGTTGTGGAGAAGTACAGATCAGGGTTGGTTTATAAAAAAATATCTGAAACTTTGAACATCCCACAGAGCACCATTAAATCCATTATAAAAAAATTGAAAGAATATGGCACCACAACAAACCTGCCAAGAGAGGGCCGCCCACCAAAACTCACAGACCAGGCAAGGAGGGCATTAATCAGAGAGGCAACAAAGAGACCATAAAAGAACCCTGAAGGAGTTGCAAAGCTCCACAGTGGAGATTAGAGTATCTGTCCATAGGACCACTTTAAGCCGTACACTCCACAGAGCTGGGCTTTACGGAAGAGTGGCCAGAAAAAAGCCATTGCTTAAAGAAAAAAATAAGCAAACACGTTTGGTGTTCGCCAAAAGGCATGTGGGCGACTCTCCAAACATATGGAAGAAGGTACTCTGGTCAGATGAGACTAAAATTTAGCTTTTTGGCCATCAAGGAAAACGTCTGGCGCAAACCCAACACCTCTCATCACCACGAGAACACCATCGGCAGGGACTGGGAAACTGGTCACCTTCCAGCAGGACAATGACCCTAAGCATAGTGCTAAAGCAACACTCAAGTGGTTTAAGGGGAAACATTTAAATGTCTTGGAATGGCCTAGTCAAAGCCCAGACGTCAATCCAATTGAGAATCTGTGGTATGACTTAAAGATTGCTGTACACCAGTGGAACCCATCCAACTTCAAGGAGCTGGAGCAGTTTTGCCTTGAAGAATGGCAAAAAATCCCAGTGGCTAGATGTGCCAAGCTTATAGAGACATACCCCAAGAGACTTGCAGCTGTAATTACTGCAAAAGGTAGCTCTACAAAGTATTGACTTTGGGGGTAGGGGTGAATAGTTTTTTTTGTCTTATTTCTTGTTTATTTCACAATAAAAACTATTTTGCATCTTCAAAGTGGTAGGCATGTTGTGTAAATCAAATGATACAAAACCCCCAAAAATCCATTTTAATTCCAGGGTGTAAGGCAACAAAATAGGAAAAATGCCAAGGGGGGTGAATACTTTCGCAAGCCACTGTAAATTATTTTTGGGGAGAGGTCAGCAATACATACATCACACAGCATTACATCAACACAACACAGCAAATATTTGTCTTGTCTTATCTTGGCAATAGTGTCCCCTACTGTGGAAGATAACACATCCTCTCACCGTGTAGACAGCCAGCAGGGCTAGCTGGTTGTAGGGTCGTCCGTTCTTAGGAGCAATCTGCTGGGCCTTCAGGTACCAACTAGACAGGAGGAGGAAGAGGAGGGAAGAGGGAGAGGGAGGAAGAGGGAGAAGGGAGGGAGGAGGAAGGAGGGAAAAGGGAGAAGAGAAGATGACTTTACACAAAAGAGACACCACATACGTGTTATTTCATAGACAAACTATGAAATAACACATATGGAATCATGTAGTAACCAAAAAGTGTTAAACAAATCAAACTTTATTTTATATTTGAGATTCTTCAAATAGCCACCCTTTGCCTCGATGACAGCTTTGCACACTCTTGGTATTCTCTCAACCAGCTTCATGAGGTAGTCACCTTGAATGCATTTCAATTAACAGGTGTGCCTTCTTAAAAGTTAATTTGTGGAATTTATTTCATTCTTAGTGCATTTGAGCCAATCAGTTGTGTTGTGACAAGGTAGGGGGGTATACAGAAGATAGCCCTATTTGGTAAAAGACCAAGTCCATATTTTGGCAAGAACAGCTAAAATAAGCAAAGAGAAACGACAGTCCATCATTACTTTAAGACATGAAGGTCAGTCAATATGGAACATTTCCAGAACTTTTCTTCAAGTGCAGTCGCAAAAACCATCAAGCCCTATGATGAAAATGGCTCTTATGTGGACCGCCACAGGAATGGAAGACCCAGAGTTACCTCTGCTGCAGAAGGTAAGTTCATTAGAGTTACCAGCCTCAGAAATTACAGCCCAAATAAATGCTTCACAGAGTTCAAGTAACAGACACATCTCAACATCAACTGTTCAGAGGAGACTGTGTGAATCAGGCCTTCATGTTCGAATTGCTGCAAAGAAACCACTACTAAAGGACACCAATAATAAGAAGAGACCTGCTTGGGCCAAGAAACATGAGCAATGGACATTAGACCGGTGGAAATTTGTTCTTTGGTCTGGACTCCAAATTTGAGATTTTTGGTTCCAACCGCTGTGTCTTTGTGAGACGCGGTGTGGGTGAACGGATGATCTCCACATGTGTATTTCCCACCGTAAAGCATGGAGAAGGAGGTGTTATGGTGTGGGGGTGCTTTGCTGGTGTCTGTGATTTGGACGTGACCCAGTTGTTCGTTCTATATGTTCCGCTCGCTGGCAACGTTCTTGTCTCTTGCTTGCTAGCTAACTAGCTAGCAAACTAGCTACGTCAAACACAGACACGACCTCTGCAGACAAAATAACAGCAAAGTAGCTGCATTTGCTTTTGTTTAAGCTGTTTTCTGTTGACATTCATTTGGATACATCCATAACAATGAGTTGATGATGCCCGATTTTGCCTGGCATACCTAGAAAAGTTTGCCTTCTTGTCAGGACACAACACTGTTCATTACGAGGAGATCAAATTGCATATCAAACACTAGGCTAGAAGCGAGCTAAATAGTTTGTTGCTAGCAAACCTGCCGATATGACAACCAAATTCAAAAATACCAGTTGCTGAAAACAGCTAGTCAAACTAGAAACGTGGGCGGATTTGACCGCATAGCGCCACTTGCGTCATGACTGCAACAGTACGTACAAGAGAAATTAATGTTCATCACTCACCACGTTAGGTCATCAGATGCTCCCAAAAAATATGTCACTGCAGAAACAAATAAATGCTAGCTAGCTACATTTTTCCTCGTTGGACCTGCGTTTACAAAGTATCCAATTTCAGCTTGTGTGGTTGTTGGTTTAGCTTTCTGTAACTTTGTAGCAAATATGGTCTGCATGTGTAGGCGCTTATTGTGTCATGATTGCAAGGTGTCCCGATATCTTTTCCAACTGTCACGATTTTTTCCCAACTCTCCCATTATCTGGTTTTAATGTATATTCTAGAATGCCCTTCTAGCCAATCAGAAATGAGTATTCAACAATGCTGTGGTATAAGCTACATTTACTAGTCAGGGAATAGTCTCCCTGAGAAAAATATATTTTGCAAGAGAGACCTGAGAACAAAAGCCACAGTTTTCTCCATTGTGATGTGTCAACGGGCAGGAACACACATGAATGGATATGTATGAAATGTCAGACAATTATGCGTTTTGTGGTAGCCAATAGCCATGGTGACGTGCTACGTACCTGCGGGCCTTGCCGTAGTTAGCCGAGTCGCTGGCCTGCTCCCGGTAACGGGCGATGTCCCCCTGACAGATCAAACACCGCTGGGCACTGATCAGAGCATACTTCACCTGGACCAACACACATTAAACATGGTTAAATACACACACACACACACACACACACACACACACACACACACCACACACACACACACACACACACACACACACACACAATAGGTTACCGTTTTGCGTAGTGGTCGTGGTCTGATGGCCATGCTGTCCATGTAGTCCTCCAGTTTAAACTGAAACACCATCTGAAGCTTCTGCAGCAGTGCATCAAAGAATACTGCCCCCTGGGAAACAAACACAGCATGATAGAAAAGTTTAGTTCCCTGAATAATTTTAGTCTTGCATACTGTCACCAACACTATTTGCAGTACAGTGCTGTTTACACAATCAGTGTTCGTCTATACGTGGTGTTTGTCTGTCTGTACGTGTTTCAAGCTAAGTTTTATTCATCCTTAGACCACTGCGCCTCCCGAGTGGCGCAGTGGTCTAAGGCACTGCATCGCAGTGCTAGCTGTGCCACTAGAGATCCTTGTTCGAATCCAGGCTCTGTCGTAGCCGGCCGTGACCGGGAGACCCATGGGGAGACGCACAATTGGCCCAGCGTCGTCCAGGGTAGGGGAGGGAATGGCCGGCAGGGGATGTTTGCAACACCAGGGTTGTGGGTTCGATTCCCACGGGGGGGGGGGGCAGTATGAAAAAAATAAAAATATATAATGTATGCACTCACTAACTGTAAGTCGCTCTGGATAAGAGCGTCTGCTAAATGACTAAAATGTAAATGTAAATGTAATGTTGTACAGGACACACATGGTATACACCGTCCAACTAAATGCTTCCTTGCAGCTTCCTTCTGGACAACGCAACAACAATAAGAAATAATGAAAGATGAGAATAGCAACATAAAGTAAATGTCTCAGTAGAACAGAAGAAACATTTCAGCAGAAGTATAATAGAGGAAGGCACAATTTACAGTCCAATATTTACACGTGTTTTGGGTAACGGCCGATTGATGCCTGTGTGTGTACATGGTGTTTGTTCAGTGTGTGTACCTCGTCCAGCAGCGTCAGCAGCATGGTGGTGATGTGCGGGGCTGAGTCTCCGCTGGGGTCTTTGAGGAGCTGTCTGAAGCGCTCTATAACCTGGTAGAACACATTCTTCCATAGAGCCTGGTCCAGGTTCTGACTGTCACTGAACTCTATGTCTGTTAGGATCACCCGCTCATACAGGGTCAATAGGTCAGCTCTGGGGGGGGGGGGGGGGGGAGGACAGACAAGATAAAGAAAGCTTTTTTAAACAGCAGGTTGCAGCTTTCACCTTTCTTCTACCCCCCCCGCCCCGCCATTAGCAGGTCACTTCCTCTCCTCTCCATCCCTCCCTCTATCTTACCTGAGCTGAGCCATGCGATCCAGTCCATCAGCACTGAGACTGTCTCTAGACAACAGGTTAGTGAGCTGTAACTCCTGGCTGTCTGCCGCTCTCAGCAGTCTCCCCAGCTCTCCTCTGGCATGCTGCTCCGCCTCCTCAAGGGTTAGACCTGCTCCGGATCCACCTGCTGGTGCTGCAGCCTCGGGTCCAGCCGGGTACCCCTGGCCCCTGTACCCCCCGTAGAACTGACCCGGGTACATGTCGTTGGAGGGGGGGATCTGGTAGGGACCGGTGGGCATAGTGTGGTAAGGGTAGGGGTAGCGTGTGTTGGGGTTAGGGTTAGGGTTGGCGTTGTAAGGGTAAGGGTTGTCAGAGTTCTGGTACTTATAGAAGGCCTGGGCCATGGCTGCAGCCTGCTGCTGGAGGTGGAAGTGCTCCCCCTGGTGGACTGGGGGACTCCCTGCAGCCTCGTCATCTGTATCCAGGAAGTGCAGCGCTCCGTAACCAACACCTGTCTGCAGGTACATGGGCTGCTGCTGCTGGAGCGATGCATGCTGGGAGAGCCCGAGGGCGGGTTTCTGGTCGGGGTTGTTCGGGTCCCAGAGACGCCTTGTTCCTCCGCCCCTTCCTCCTCCTCTCCCTAGCCCCGCCTCTCTTCCTCCACGTATCCCACCAAACAGGAGCCTCAGCCCGGGCTCCGCCGACGATTGGGAGAGGTCGGTGTGGGCGGGGAGGATGAGGATGCCCCTCCCCCTGCCGCGAGGTCCAGTGCCCTGTCTGCGTCGCCCCTGGGGGTCCTCGCCGGGGCCTGAGGTAGCCTGGGAGAAGCCTGACTGTCTGTCACTATGAGACACTCTCAGGAGTCCTCCTCTCCCTCCTCCTCCTCCTCCTCTGTGCCCCCCTTCTGTCCCTCTGCTCTCCTCCACCCTCTTTCTCATCTCTGGGCTCCAGTCCTCCTCTGCTCCGTCTCTCCTCCTTCTCCTCCTCCTCTCATCCCATCTTGCTCTCCTCCAGTGAGTCAGTAGAGGAGTCTCTAGTGTTTCTCCTCCTGTTCTGGAACTGACCTCTTCCTCCCTCCCCTCCTTCTCGCTCCCTGCGCCCCAGGCGGTCTTGTCGGGCCCCGTCCTCCCCCAGCCCCCCTCCCTGTCCCTGTCCAGGTCCGTCCAGACTGGTGCCACTGCTGGCAGAGCTGGTGCTGTAGGTGCGGTTCCTGGGTCTTCTGATGTCTGACTTGGAGTAACGTTTAGAGGACGATGATGGGTGGTTATTGTTGTTGTTGTCAGGGTTAGTGTCGGCTCTGCACCGCTCGCTCACCTCCACTGGCCTCTCTCTGTTTCTCTCCATCTCTCCATCCCTCTCTCTGTCTACGTCTCGGGGTCTGTTGTTCCCTCTCTGGTTGTCCCTCTCCGTCTCTCTATCCCTCGGAGTCTCTCTTCCTTTTGCTGGCTGTCTATCTGCAGGACGGTTCGCTTCCCTCTCTTTGTCCCCCTCCAACTCTCTCCTATTTCTCTCTTTCTCAGTCATCCTTCGCTCACCCTTCCCCACTCCTCCTTCCCCTCTTCCTCTTCTCCTGGAATTCTGATTGCCCTCCTTCTCCCCCCCTCCTCCTCCTCTGTTCCTGCGGTTTCCCCTCTCGCTCTTCTTCTCACCTCCTTCATTTGCTGCTCCTCCTCCCTCACTGCTAGCCTTCTTCCTCCTGTCTACTTCCTGGCCCTCTCCTTTCTCTCCTCCTCCTCTCTTCTCCTCCTCCTCACTCCCAGCTGGGGCAGTCACACTGAGTTTCTTCATCTTCCCAGTCAGGTTCTCCACTCCAGGGACTGAGACTGCTGCTGCTTTGCCAGTCTCTCTCCTCCCCTGCCTTCTGCCCTTCTCCTCTCGTCCCTTCTCCTCTCTCTCTTTCCCTCCCCCTCTCTCTCCTCCAGTCTCTCTTTGTGGGGCTGGCTCTCTCCTGGCTACAGCCTCCTGTCTAACAGACCCAGACCCAGACCCAGGGGTAGGGGCTGGTTTCTTCGTCTCTCTTCCCGCTTCCGCCTCCTTCCCCTGGGTGCTGGTGGTGCTCCTCCGGCCCCCCGGCTGATAGATCTCCCGGTCCGGTTTACGAGTCTTCCTGGTGGGCTTGGAAGAGCCAGGGTAACCCCCTGCTGGCTCCGGGAGGTCTGGGTCTCTCCCACTGTGGTGCTTCTCTCTCCCTCCATCCCTCTGCCTGGAGCTCTGTGGTCCGCCGCCTGAGCCCGATTGCCCCCCTGCACTGCTACCATTGCTGCTACTGTTGTTATTGTCGGCTCTGGTGGTGTGGTGGTCACCTCTTTGAGTCCTCTGTTGTGCAGATGATCGAGAGCCTTCCCGGTTAAAAGTAAAACCTCCCCCACCATGACTTCCCCCTCCTCCACATTTATCCCCTCCTTCCTTCCCCATCCCTCCATCTGTACATCCAGGTTCAGTTGAAACCGTCTCAATGGCGGCCATCTTGTGCCCTTCTTCCTCCTCCTTCTGCGGCGATGACATCACCAGCTCCTCTTCAGGGTCAGAGGTCATGGTTACAGGGTCTCCAGGGTGATGAGGGGAGGTCACCATGTTGCTGTCCTTGCTGTCATGGCGACATTTGCCGTGGATGGCCTCTGGCGTGTAGCACTGCAGATCGGGGTGTTTTGCTGCGTCGTTGCCGTGGTGATGCTGCTGCGGGCGTTCGCCACTCCCCTCCTCTTCTTGCTCCTCTGTGACAGGGAGAGAGGGAAGGGGGGGATAGAAAAGGAAGAGCGAGGGGAAAGAGATAGAGAAAGAGAGAGAAGAGAGAGATCGAGATCGAGATAGATAGAGAAAGATAGAGAAAGAGAGAGAGAGAGAGAGAAAGAGAGAGATCGAGATCGAGATAGATAGAGAAAGAGAAAGAGAGAGAGAGAGTCTAGATAATGATAGAAGAGAGATTGCGATCGGGATCGCATAGATAATTATAGACGCATAGTAGGACAGAGGATCGATAGTACGACGAGATAAGGGGTGAATGTAGGAAGAGGATATATATTAGTAGTGATGACAAGGTGTGAGCGTTGAACTTGAAAGTGTTCCAAAAAGCTGTAGAGAGACAGTCCGACGACAACGACATACAGCTGCTCAGAACACACACACTTGTCCTGTCCTGTCCTACACACAGTAACACTGCAGAGTTAACACACACACACAGGTCCACCTGCACAGAGCACATCACATCCTATCTCACCATCTTATGTGTGATTCATTTCCCAGTCGGCTACTGAACTAAACTGACTCATCAGGCTCTTCAACTAACACGCAGCAGGACAGTTTAAGAAGGTGAGAGCAGGAGGTGGTGAGAGAGACAGAGAGAGAGACAGAGACAGAAGAGAGACAGAGACAGAAACAGAGACAGAAGACAGAGAGAGACAGAGAGAGAGAGACAAGAGAGAGAGAGACAGAGAGAGAGAAGAACAGAGAGAGAAGAAGACAGAGAGAGAGAAACAGAAGAGAAGACAGGAAGAACGAAGAGAAGAGAGGAGAAGAGAGAGAGAGATAGAAGAGAGAGACAGAAGAGAAAGATAGAGAGAGACAGGAGAGAGACAGAGAGAGAGAATGAGATAGAGAGCGAGGAGACATAGAGAGAGACAGACAGCAGATACAGAGAGGAGATAGAGCAGAGACATATACAGAAGATCCACAGAATACTGCAAGAATGAGAATAGCGATATAGAGAGCGAGCGACAGATACAGAGAGAGAGACTACAGTAACTGCTTATCGGATCCATATATCCCTCTCTCTGTCATTCATCCTATCTATCTCTATCTAGATACCTATATACCCTAGTATAGACTATATTCTATAGAATATATTTCCTCATCTCCTCTCTCATCTCTTCGTCCCCCTATCTAGCGACCAGACATCTATTTCCTCCGCTCCATCTGGACTCAGACAAATGTATAGAGACAACATATACAACAGAGACAGACAGAGAAGACGAGCAGAGAGAAGTAGATAGAGAGAGAGAGAAGAGATATAGAAGAGAGGATAGAGATTGAGAATAGAATGAGAGTATAGTAGCGCATCGAGATGTAGTGCTAGCGTACGTCATGATGCCTGCCTGATAATATAGTGCACCTATACCCCATATTTCAACAACAACTAAAAGGACCTGACACACACTAGCAGCTGCCCCAGGATCTGGGTAGAAGTTGTAGCTAGGGTAACTAAGGGAGTAAGGAGAAATGTGTTGCTGGGTAAAGTTCAGTGTAAAAGGGGTTGACATCATCATCATCATCATCATCAAAGCAGCAAAAAGCCGAGCTGAGTCAGAACAGGTTTCGGTCCAGGAGGGATACAGGGGTGGGTGTGCAGGCTGATTATTTAAAAGAGGTGTGTTAGTCATGGGCTAGAATAAAAACCTGCACACCCAGTGGTTCCACAGGACCGGAGTGGCCTCATCAATGAGGATTTAGGAAAGATGAGTTAGCTATCCATCAGTGTGTATGCAGCTAGTGTGGCCAAAGCTACAAGGTGGTTGCTATATTGATTTAGCATGTGACAAAATAAAATGTGATTTGACACTCCCCCAGAGAAGCCAGCACAACAGCCCACCTCAGACCCGGACCACAACGGGACAGACAACCCAACAGACCCTATTCCCTCCTAACAGCCCCACTGTCAGCCCTCTTGACAACCCGCCACATATCCACCGAGGACACACAAAGGCCAGAGATTGTGCTCCTGCAAAATTGTGCGACATCATAATTCACACAGGCACAAACGATGGGCCCAGAAGGAAAGGGTGGCCACAGCACTCAAGGGAGTGATTGAAAATGCTTCTTTCACATTCCCTAACTCTTGAGTGGTCATCTCCACCATGCTACCAAGAAAATACTTTCACCCTGCCACTCTAGAGCGGGTGAATGCAAGCATTTCCCGGGACTGTGCCTCAAAACCTAATGTCTACCTGGCCCACCACTCCACCCTGGACTTGAACAGCCTTTAGGACCAGGTCCACCTATACAAAGGCAGCAGTCCGAACATTAGCCAGGACCCTGAAGGACATCACCATCAACCGCAGCCCCAACTCCTCACATAGGAGCAACAGAGCAACGGACACCCCGTCCAGACCAGCGAGACACCCTCCCAGACCTGTGAGCCCCCCTCCCGAAGGACCTGCACTGAGAGGACCCACGCAAAGAGGACCCCCCCCCCCAACAAACCCTGGCCACACCCTATATAGGCCCCCCCAGATCAGGCCTATGCCCCTTCTGCCACCCCCCTGCAGCAAGGACCCCAACATGACAGCCACACATATACCCAGGCCGTGAGCAGAGCAACAGGCCCAACCCCCACTAATACACCCGCCCAAGCCCCATCCTGCGTCCTAAGAGGTCTGTATCAGATGCCCAACATGCTCTGCTCACACCTACTGTAACTCATCCTGGAATATACAAGGTCTGAGGTCATCTGCCTTTGGCCTAAAGAGCAGGAACCCAGACTTCATCAAAGAAATTGGAAATACAGACATTGTCACCTACAAGAAACATGGTATAGAGGAGACGGACCCAGTGGTTGCCCTCTAGATTACAGAGAGCTGGTAGTCCCATCCATCAAACTACCAGGTGTGAAACAGGGAAGAGACTGAGGGGGTATGCTAATTTGGTATAGAGCAGACCTAACCCACTCTATTAAATTAATTAAAACAGGAGCATTTTACATCTGGCTAGAAATAAATAAGGAAATAATCTCAACAGAGAAAAATTTCCTCCTGTGTGCTGCCTACATTATATTCCCCCAATAGTATCCCTATACTTTAATGATGACAACTTCTCCATCCTAGAGGGGGAGATCAATCATTTCCAGGCCTAGGGACATGTACTAGTCTGTGGTGACCTAAATGCCAGAACTGGACAAGAACCTGGCACTCTCAGCACACAGGGGGAAAACACCTACCTGGAGGTGACGGTATTCCCTCCCAGATATGCCACCCCTAGACACAACTATGACAAAACAACCAACAAAAACAGGTTACAACTCCTGCAGCTCTGTCACACGCTGGGTCTGTACATAGTAAATGGTAGGCTTCAAGGAGACTCCTATGATAGGTACACCTACAGCTCATCCCTTGGCAGTAGTCCTGTAGATGACTTTATCACTGACCTCAACCCAGAGTCTCTCAGAGCGTTCAGTCAGCCCACTGATACCCAGATCAGATCAGTCTACTTGAACAGAGCAAAGCTCAAATCATGAGGCATCAAAGCCGAACAAACTGCATACTATTATGAAATGCTGTAGATGGTAAACATCTTCTGAAAACATCTGAAACTCTCAGCACACAGGGTGGCGCAGTGGTCTAAGGCACTGCATCGCAGTGCTAGCTGTGCCACTAGAGATCCTGGTTCGAGTCCAGGCTCTGTCGCAGCCGGCCGCAACCGGGAGACCCATGGGCGGCGCACAATTGGTCCAAGGTAGGGGAGGGTTTGGCCGGCAGGGATGTGGGTTCGTTTCCCACGGGGGGCCAGTATGAAAAATAAAAAAAGAAAGAAAAACGTATGCATTCACTAACTGTAAGTCGCTTTGGATAAGAGCGTCTGCTAAATGACTGAAATATAAAATGAAATGTAATGAAAACCTACCTCTTCAAAGAGTATCCTGAAAGTAACCTAGCAGTTAAGAGCGTTGGGCCAGTAACTGAAAGGTCGCTGGTTCGAAATCCCTAGTCGGCTCGGGATTTCGAACCAGCAACCTTTCAGTTACTGGCCCAACGCTCTTAACCGCTAGGTTACTTTCCGCCCCACTCTCTCTCTCCCACAAACACACACTGATCCCAACTTTTAAAACATTAAGTAACAAACAGAATTTAAGGAGCACCAGAAAGAGATCGATTTTTGATAGTTTAGGCTTACATTAGGCCTATATGAATCCCACCTTTGAAGCACATCTCATGAGTAGCAGACCCTTTTCCTGTCTTGCTGTGCCATTCAAATTTGCCTAGACCTACTGTCAAGTTAGCAGGTTGTCAGCTAGCTAGGTAACGTGACTGAACAACGTTGTTTGTTATCAAACCAATAAAGGCCATGGTTTGTGAAATTATATACATTTGTGCTAGGGTCCGTGCTATCCGGAATCCTTGGGACGTCCCTATCCCATTGAAGTCGACATTTAAAATGGTTACGGTTAGATAAGGGTTATGGTTAAGGTTAGGGTAAGGGTAGGAGTTAAGGTTTTAGGGTAGGGACGTCTGAAGGAAACCGGATAGCACTGACCTTTGAGCTAGAGACATGCCGTTTTCTTTGCTGTAAAGCTGCAAGCATGCCTGTCGTGAAGCTGTGCTCCATTTTCTCTCTGGCACTCAGAGGCTGCGTGACAGCGAACTTGCAATTGCAAAGCTTACTCAGACTGGCCTGTGCTCTTGGTTATACCAGAAAATGAAATTATATAATGTATCAACTTTGCTCGCTCTGGGCGCTGCTAGGGCTGTGGTGTTCATGACATTTTGTCTGCTGGTGATTGTCAAGCAAATACAGTGCCTTCGGAAAGTATTCAGACCCCTTGACTTTTTCCACATTTTGTTACGTTACAGCCTTATTCTAAAATTGATTAAATAAATAAAAATCCTCAGCAATCTACACACAATACCCCATAATGACAAAGCGAAAACAGGTTTGTAGAAATGTTTGCAAATGTATTAAACATAAAAAACAGAAATACCTTATTTACATAAAGTATTCAGACCCTTTGCTATGAGACTCAAAATTGAGCTCAGGTGCATCCTGTTTCCATTGATCATACTTGAGATGTTTCTACAACTTGATTGGAATCCACCTGTGGTAAATGAAATTTATTGGACATGATTTGGAAAGGCTCATACCTGTCTATATAAGGTCCCACAGTTGACAGTGCATGTCAGAGCGAAAACCAAGCCATGAGGTCGAAGGAATTGTCCGTAGAGCTCCGAGACAGGATTGTGTCGAGGCAAAGATCTGGGGAAGGGTACCAAAAACTGTCTGCAGCATTGAAGGTCCCCAAGAACACAGTGGCCTCCATCATTCATAAATGTCTATCCAAGATGGCATAGCAGTGCGGTCGTGTTTTCTGTCGTGTCCTCGTGTAAATAGCCAGTTTTATTGTTTTTTGTCTATATTTCTCAATTTTACTTTTTTACATTTTACATTTTAGTCATTTAGCAGACGCTCTTATCCAGAGCGACTTACAGTTAGTGAGTGCATACATTTTTCATAGTGGCCCCCCGTGGGAATCGAACCCACAACCCTGGCGTTGCAAGCGCCATGCTCTACCAACTGAGCTACAGGAGGGCTGTTCATTTACATTTCATTCTTTAACTAAATATACTTTCCTGCAACCTGCCTCACCCAACGTGGAAAGGAATCTATTATTTCTTTATAACTTTTATCAAGAACCTTAAGCTGAAACTAGTCTAGCTGCAACCGAATGGCTGTGGTAGCCAGCTAGCTAGCTACTTGCTATTAGCCACCGTTAGCGTCTTCACCATTGTCCGTGGCCTGCACTACCCACCAGCCAGCTCTAGCTCTAGCCTGGACAATTTGTCAGCCAGTCTGCACAGCGTGCTATCGACCAAGAGCATATCGGATTTTCTGCCGGAATCAATGGACCCTAACGCCGGATCATCGCAACTACCTAGCGGCAACCGAATGGCTGTTGTCGTTGGCTAATTACCATTGCCCCTTAGCAAGCACCAGTTAGCCTTGAGCTAGCCTCGAGCCAGGCCCCTCTCCCGGCTATCTACCTCTCTGTCAACCGGACGGGACCTCCTAGTGTTGGCACGGAGCCCCGCCAATCCAACACGACTGGTCTGCCGACGAAATCGTCTGATGTAGTTTCAACAGGCTTTCCGTTACAATGTCGACCACGAAGATCCATCTGCTAGCCCCGGCCCGCTAGCACACGCAAGCCGTGCCTCTTGCTCGCCAGTGCTGTAGCAGCCCCCGAACTACCTCCGAACTCTCCTATTGCTGTTCACTGGACCTTATGATAACTCAGCTATACAGCTGATGCCTGCTGGACTGTTCCTTTATACGGTACCGCATCTTTTTTATTTTTTATTAACCTTTATTTAACCAGGTAAGCCAGTTGAGAACAAGTTCTCATTTACAACTGCGACCTGGCCAAGATAAAGCAAAGCAGTGTGATAAAAACAAATGTTTATGTTTAGCCTCAGCCCAAACTTTACATTTACATTTACGTCATTTAGCAGACGCTCTTATCCAGAGCCACTTACACATTGGTGCATTCACCTTATAGCCAGTGGGATATCCACTTTACAATGTTTTTTGTTTTTTTTTGGGGGGGGGGGTGGGGTAAGGGCGGGTAGAAGGATTACTTTATCCTATCCCAGGTATTCCTTAAAGAGGTGGGGTTTCAGGTGTCTCCGGAAGGTGGTGAGTGACTCCGCTGTCCTAGCGTCGTGAGGGAGCATTGCCACCATTACCAGCTGTTGTCTTAGCTCTCTCGAATAACACCTGTGATTGCTTATGCCTCTCTCCCATGTCAATATGCCTTGCTTATTGCTGTTTCGGTTATTTCTTATTGTACTATTTCATTGTAGAGCCCCCAGTCCAGCTCAACCTGCCTTAGATAGTTCCTTTGTCCCACCCCCCATACACACGGAGACCGACTCAATCGGTGCCTCCAGTGATGCTATCTCTTTCATCGTTACCCAGCACTTAGGTTTACCTCCACTGTACTCATGTCTGTACATAATGCCCTGAATCTATTTTACAACGCCCGGAAATCTGCCCCTTTTATTCTCTGTACCCAACGCACTAGAAGACCAGTTCTTAAAGCCTTTAGCCGTATCCTTATTCTAGTCCTCCTCTGTTCCTCTGGTGATGTAGAGGTTAACCCAGGCCCTGTAGCCCCCAGCATCACTCCTACTCCCCAGGCATTATCATTTGTTGACTTCTGTAACCGTAAAAGCCTTGGTTTCTTGCACGTTAACATCAGAAGCCTCCTCCCTAAGTTTGAGTTATTCACTGCGTTAGCACACTCCACCAACCCTGATGTTCTAGCAGTGTCTGAATCCTGGCTTAGGAAGGCCACCAAAAATGCAGAAATGTCCATCCCCAACTACAACATTTTCTGTCTAGATAGAACTGCCAAAGGGGGTGGAGTTGTAATCTACTGTAGAGATAGCCTGCACTTATAATTCACTGTATCACAATTCCAGTGGGTCAGAAGTTTACATACACTAAGTTGACGGTGCCTTTAAACAGCTTGGAAAATTCCAGAAAATGATGTTATGGCTTTAGAAGCTTCTGATAGGCAAATTGACATAATTTGAGTCAATTGGAGGTGTACCTGTGGATGTATTTCAAGGCCTACCTTCAAACTCAGTGACCCTTTGCTTGAAATCCTGGGAAAATCAAAAGAAATCAGCCAAGACCTCAGGAAAAAATTTGTAGACCTCCACAAGTTTGGTTCATCCTTGGGAGCAATTTCCAAACGCCTGAAGGTACCACGTTCATCTGTACAAACAATAGTACGCATGTATAAACACCATGGGACCACACAGCCATCATACCGCTCAGGAAGGAGACGCGTTCTGTCTCCTGGAGATGAACGTACTTTGGTGGGAAAAGTGCAAATCAATCCAAGAACAACAGCAAAGGACCTTGTGAAGATGCTGGAGGAAACAGGTACAAAAGTATCTATATCCACAGTAAAACAAGTCCTATATCGACATAACCTGAAAGGCCACTCAGAAAGGAAGAAGCCACTGCTCCAAAACCGCCATAAAAAAGCCAGACTACGGTTTGCAACTGCACATGGGGACAAAGATCGCACTTTTTGGAGAAATGTCCTCTGGTCTGATGAAACAAAAATAGAACTGTTTGGCCATAATGACCATGGTTATGTTTGGAGGAAAAAGGGGGCTACTTGCAAGCCGAAGAACACCATCCCAACTGTGAAGCACGGGAGTGGCAGAAATAAAAGCTTAAATAAATCATTCTCTCTACTATTATTCTGACATTTCACATTCTTAAAATAAAGTGGTGATCCTAACAAATTTTTACTAGGATTAAATGTCAGGAATTGTGAAAAACTGAGTTTAAATGTATTTGGCTAAGGTGTATGTAAACTTCCGACTTCAACTGTATACGAGGTGTGGGACTATGATTTGAAAAAGTCGCAAAAAAAGGCATGTGTTGTTTCTTGTCTTACTGCACACGCTGGGCATCATTCACAAGTGATAGGCTAATATGCTCACCCAGCAGACTATTTTTGATTTAATCTTTACATATACTAAATAATATGTGTGAAATTGTTTTGATTTAGAATGGACCATTATCAGGCACCTGCCACTGGGCAGGGGAAAAAAATACATGTCTTCTATGCACTTAAATAGCGAATGGAGGATGCTTTTCCGTGGTTAATGTTCATGCTAGCCAGGTAGGCTATACTCCTGTTGTAAGCGAAGCAATGTGCTTAATATTAGGAAAGTTGAGAAATAAATATAGTAGACCTAGCCTATAGAAAGCTGATGGGATCCTCCTCTTTTTAATAGAGGCCATCAAAACTCTGTTTTCTCACGCAATTGCATAGCCTATAGAAATGTTGCGCAACATGAGCTCATGGGGTCTCAAGAAGCATTTTATTTGAAATTATATTTTAAAAACTGATGGAGGAATAGATGCGCAGGAAGAGTGGAAGGAGAGAAGCAGGTGAGTGATGGCTGGAAGCAGATGGCTGATCACAGCTGCCACACTTGAGATGTGCATGAAAGTGAAGTGGACGTTATGGCACATACAAGAAACTAGTTGCTGTTGCTTAAAACATTTAACTGAATTTATAAACAAAACTGATTTTATGAACATTTTATAACAGCTGTCAGTCCTTTAGATCAGCAGGGCCAAAAAATGTTTTAATATCATATGAAATGGTAATATGGAGCCGGGGCCGTGCATGACTCCAACACCATCATTAAGTTTCCCGACGACACGAAGGTGGTAGGCCTGATCACCGACGATGATGAGACAGCCTACAGGGAGGTGGTCAGAGACCTGGCATTGTGTTGCCAAGACAACAACCATAATTTCACAACGTCAGCAAGACAAAGCAGCTGATCATGGACTACAGGAAACGGAGGGCCGAGCAAGTCCCTATCATGGTCCACACACACCAACACAATCGTAAAGAGGACACGACAATGTCTCTTCCCCCTCAGAAGGCTGAAAAGGTTTGGCATGGGCTATGAGATCCTCAAAAAGTTATACAGCTGCACCAGTGAGATCATCTTGACTGGCTGCAAAGACTCCAGCCACCCAAGGCATAGACTGTTTTCTCTGCTACCGCACAGCAAGCAGTACCAATGCACCAAGTCTGTAACCACACAGGACCCTTAACAGCTTCTACCCCTAAGCCATAAGACTGCTAAATAGGTAGTTAAATAGTTAACCAATAACTACCCGGACTATCTGCATTGACCCTTTATGCACTAACTCGTTTGACTCATCACATATGCTGCTGTTACTGTTTATTATCTATCCTGTTGCCTTGTCACTTTATCCCTACCTATATGTACACATTTACCTCAATTCCCTCGTACCCCTGCACATCGACTTGGAAACAAACGACCACATGATGAGCCAAGCTACCATTAGCTAGCAAGCTAACGTTAGTCACTTAATTTCGTGGCACTTTATACTTTGAGTTGCTCATTTTGCGTACTCTTTCTTAGTGTATTCGGCACTTTCGTTGATCGTTCTCACCTCTGTGACTATCGCCGTGGTTGAAGAAACTCGACGCTTCAACTCGAAGTTCCGATGCGGAAATCCGTACTCTGTCTAGTTCACTGAGGTCTAATTCGTCCGCCATCTTCGTCTCTATCCAACAACACAAACACACGGCGCCTCGGAGGGATCAAAACACCACGCACCCGCAGAGAAACGCGTTTAGATAAACAACTGTTTGTCATTCTGTGTACAGTAGCCAAGCTTGAACATTAGGCTATCCTTAGCCGAAAGGCCGGCAGATGGCGATATTGATCTGGTATTGATGGCTCCAAAAGCATTGTATGCAGTCGGCAATACACTCATAACAACAGAATGCTGTACAGCATGAAGATAGGCTAAAACTGTTTCTCCAATAGAAATCCCCGATCACACTTGTAGGCCATGTCATAGAGCACCTTTTATTGAACTGCTAGCTACAGAACTAAATAAATATGGGACCTGAAGAGAAGTATTGATTTCGATGCATAAATCCCAAGACAGTCTTTCACAGTGTTTTTGATACTCACATGGATGACAATACTAAAGATCTATTGTGAACAATAAGATTTGGAAGACAAGATGTATGATGACTCTAAAACAACTTTTTGTCCCCTCTAACATTGTTTTTTAAAAACTCAAAACGGAATGAAAAAGAAGAAGAAAGCTAGACTCCAAAAAACAAGTTGACCTATTAAATATATAAATCAAATATGTAAACTACAAAGGGAAACCCAGCCGCGAGCTGCCCAGTGACACGAGCTTACCAGACGGGCTAAATGCCTTTATGCTTGCTTCGAGGCAAGCAACACTGAAGCATGCATGAGAGCACCAGCTGTTCCGGACTACTGTGTGATCACGCTCTCCGTAGCCGATGTGAGCAAGAACTTTAAACAGGTCAACATTACAAGGCCGCGGGGCCAGACAGATTACCAGGACGTGTACTCAGACCATGCACGGACCAACTGGTAAGTGTCTTCACTGACATTTTCAACCTGTCCCTGACCAAGTCTGTAATACCTACATATTTCAAGCAGACCACCATAGTCTCTGTGCCCAAGAAAGCAAAGGTAACCTGCCTAAATGACTACCGTGTCAGAGGAAGGCCCAAAAAATTGTCAAAGACTACAGTCACCCAAGTCATAGACTGTTCTCTTTGCTACCGCACGGCAGCCGGTACCGGAGCGCCAAGTCTAGGTCCAAAAGGCTCCTACCCCCAAGCCATAAGACTGCTGAACGATTAAACAAATGGCCACCTGGACTATTTGCATTGACCCCCCCCCCCGCAATGTTGACACTACTGCTACTAAATATTTTCTTAACTATATATTTTTTTAAACTGCATTGTTGGTTAAGGGCTGGTAGGTAAGCATTTCACGGTAAGGTCTACACCTATTGTATTCGGCGCGTGTGATAAATACAATTAGATTTGATGTTAAGTTGTCTAATAATGAACCCATGTAATGATGTGAAAACAGATTTGTATTTATATCAATTAATCTATTATGTTTGTGAAAAAAAACTTGAATGAAGGTTATTAACATTTTTAAAAAGCAAGGTTGGCTAGCTAAGCCAAATATATTTATAACCAACCCAAAATAGTTCATCTGTGTCGTTCACAGTGGGAGCAAATGAAGCATAGTGGGCAGAACAAGCAAGGAGGTGGGCAGAGCCAAGCACGAGCTAGCAAGATCCTATTAGCGCGATGTAGCACGTATTTGCATATTTCCGTTAGGGAACGCCTCCGCTGTGAAGTGCGCGTGTGCACAAACTCAATTCGACATTGCACTCCTTCTAAACCACGCTTTTTTTTATAACTTTGGCAAAGCGTCAATTCTATAAAAACTTAGTGCACTGGTGTTCATAACAGATTTTAGTTATGGGAACAGAAAAATGTATTGAGATCAACAGCTTCACCTAGTTCCTTCCTCTCCCACTATCCGTGACTGGACTTCCTCTCACTACCATATTTGGTGGTGATAAAACGTTATTCTTCTTCTTTGAGGTTTATTGGCAGACTACACTCATAAGGTGTATTGCCGCCACCTACTGTACGGGGAAGTAAAATATAGCCCAAAAACAAATTATGTTTTGGATGAACAAATTCATACTTATTACCTAAAACAGTAAACAAATTCAAGCTACTACGCTGGATTTCAAACAAAAACAAAAAACGGTTCTTCTTCAGTCGGATTTAAATATATATTCAGATCCATACACAGGCTCAGGAACCTGGGAGGGGGAGCCTCTTCATTCAGTACTCCCAGTAACATTTCGGCTGTAAAGTCCTGGAGATCCAGAAATCTATTTGCCGCCTTCACAATGATGTCTAACTTCTTAGATGTTTTATTAGTTTGACTAGTGCAACTTGTCACTTGCGCTATAAACGGAACAAAGTTCAGCTTCTTCACTGTTAGTGTGTCGGGATCCTTCTCCTGCATGGCATTCACTGCAGACTGTGGGACGAGAAAACGTTCTAAACGGATGATTCAGCTTTATAGCTCCTGTGACGTGTCTGGGTTACCCCTTATGTCTGTGGTTAGACCCGATGACCCGTTTCCATGCTAGATCCAATTAGCATAGAAACGCGACATAAACTCATAGGTAGAAACACCTCATCGGGTCTAACGGTCGTCTGGCGCCGAGGTGCGCATGTACAGGCCGTCAAATCAAAGATATAAAGTTGTTTTTGACCAAAATGAAAACGTGTCAGTTTGTCACTTTCACGAGGTTGGAGTAATAACATGTTCAACTACTTAAGACATTGGCTCGAATCTAGGTTGTGCGTTTGGATATTCGACAATTTTCCTAAGCGTTCCCCGAAGTCTCGTGATGTTGCGCCTCTGGGTTTAGAAACTCTGTGGCTGTAACCTGATTGGCTGAACGCGATATGCAACAACCGGGACTAGCATTCCTAGGCATTATCCACTTTAGAATGGTGGTCGAAAACTGTGTTTCATATTGAAAGTATGCATATTTTCCCGCCTTCTCGACATTAAATCTAGTTAAGGAGGAAATCTACGCCTTTGCACCACAGGGGACACGAGTGTATTGCCGGCTGCATACAATGACTTTGGACGGGAAGATGGAAACGGCTCAATATCGCCACCTGCTGGCCTTTGGGCTAGGCTGCACCCTTTATACCTCAGGACCCAGAACGGGGTCAATAGCCTACGGACCGCGTGTCCCGACTAAAACAATTATATATATTTTTTAAATGTTTATTTAATAAAAAAAATAAATAATTGGAACTCAGGCGGGCTTTCAATTTACTGCTGTTGAGAGTTGTAATAGCAGAATAGTAACATGGGCAGTGTGCAAAGCTGTCATCAAGGCAAAGGGTGTCTATTTGAAGAATCTCAAATATAAAATATATTTGGATTTGTTTAACACTTTTTTGGTTACTACATGATTCCATGTGTTATTTCATAGTTTATGTCTTCACTATTATTCTACAATGTAGAAAATAGTAAAAATAAAGAAAAACCCTGGAATGAGTAGGTGTGTGTCACACTTGTTGATAAACTGGTCAGACCAAGGCGCAGCGTGAAATGCATACATGTTTATTTGAACCGAATACACAACGACAAACGAAACGTGAAGTCCAAGGTACACAAACAACATACCTCACACGGAACAAGATCCCACAACCCACTAGTGCCAATAGGCTGCCTAAGTATTGTCCCCAATCAGAGACAACGAGCGACAGCTGCCTCTGATTGGGAACCACACCGGCCAACATAGAAATACACATACTAGAACCCACATAGAAAATACTCCATAACAAAGAATATACACACCCTGACTCAACATATACGAGTCCCCTGAGTCAGGGCGTGACAGTGTGTCCAAACTTTTGACTGGTACTGTATGTGTGACTGGACCGTACATAATAGTTGAGAACCCCTGCTATACAGTGTAATTTACAACTGAAGTGAATGATGATATGTATTAGGTTATAAATGTATTCAAATGTTTAGTCAAGATTTGCAATATGTCAGAGTATGTCTACAAAGTGAAACAACACCAACCTTTAGCCAACAAAACAAATGGTTAAAAGGGATCTGACTGCATTCTTTTAAATTGTTTTTAGAAATGTTTGGATGAAATAATGAATCTATTGAAAAACATTATACACCTTTACTTTAGTTCTACTTTTTGGAGGAGAAATAAGTAGGCTGGGATATCTGTGGCTTTTGATTTGGGTAGTTATTAGATGACAAATAGCTAGTCAGACGAATCAAGGACTACCAGTTTGTGTATGAATTTCAGCACAGTAGTCAGGCAGGTCCAACCGAGATTTGAAGTCAGAGCGCTGGATTCAGAGTCCAGAGTGCTAACCATTACATGATAGAACCCGATGCTGATGGCTTTGGTGAGGTGTGACACTTGTCAGCTTCTTGCATACGTAAAATGGTTGAGTGGTAAGTGAAGTGATTTTGACTTTATTAGATACGTAAAAGCTGGCTTGTAAGTAATTTCAACTACATTACATTTGCTATGTACCTCTAGCCAACAATGATAAGTAATATTCTCTCTTTCTCCATAATAAACCTATTTTTATAATAATTTGTTCTATAATAATATAATGCCATTTAGCAGACGCTTTTATCCAAAGCGACTTACAGTCATGCGTGCATACATTTTTTTTTGTGTATGGGTGGTCCTGGGGATCGAACCCACTACCTTGGCGTTACAAGCGCCGTGCTCTACCAGCTGAGCTACAGAGGACTATCACTGTCTCTCTGCTGCGCTCTCTCTTTCTCATCTCTCTGTCTTTCTCATGTCTCTTCCTTGCTTTCTCCACCTTCCCATCTCTCTCCCATTCTCTTGTTATCTCTCTCTCTCTCTCTCTCTCTCTCTCTCTCTCTCTCTCTGGAATAATGAGATATGTGAATGGAGAGGGAGGGGTGATGTGAGTCATCTCAATGAGTCATGCACAGGAAGAGACAGGCAGTAAATATGGGCATACAACAATATCAAACAAAACACACACACACACACACACACACACACACACACACACACACACACACACACACACACACACACACACACACACACACACACACACACACACACACACACACACACACACACACACAC